CGGAGTCCCGAACGAGGGAGCCGAACACGAGCTGTTCGTGAACGGTGAGCTAGTTTGACATCCCTAATATATATATATATATATATATATATATATATTAGGGATGTCAAACTAGCTCACCGTTCACGAACAGCTCGTGTTCGGCTCCTTCGTTCGTGACTTCACGAACAATTTCGAACACGAGCTTATTTCAAACAAACTAAATTTCAAATGAACCGAACACGAATACAAACTCTGTTCGTTCGTGTTCGTTTTGTCTACACCCCTATAGCGAAAGTGATCAGCTCATTTTTATCAAATTTGGATGGCTGTCAGTGAGTATGAATGATCAAGTATGAATGACCGAATGTGATAGGTTGTAGAGTGGTCGAATGTAAATATCAAAGTTACGAATGTAAAGAAAAGATATTGTTGTCAACTGCGAGATAATAAGTTGACTTTAGAAAGGAAATCTTCAAGAAGATTTTAATTTTTAATGATGATTTGACTAAAAAGATAGCTAGATTACAACAACATAGTGGTTTTCACATATTTTTTTATATATAGAAATTGCCTCTTATAAATTGGTGAAAAAAATTACAAAATAAATTCCCGGATTCACAATCAGATCTTTAATTGTTGGAACCATGTTCATTTCTATAGTAATTCAGCTCGAAAATGGGATTCAATATCCCGAAGAGTTGCAGTGAGCGTGGACCATATCACATATGAGAAGAAAAAACATACAAAGAAAAAAACTAAGCCATAAAGAGGTCGCAAGCAACATGGGTCACATCAAAGAATTCATCACCCAACAGATTAACAAGCTCAAAAAGGAAATAAGGGGGATTATAAAAAAAAATCTCGCCAATATAGCAATACCATCACATCCTTCATTAGCCCTGTCATGTCAAAGTATCAAATTAGACTCTAGTGCCAAGCAAACCACTTCATTTGTGCCAATAGATGAAGATGAGTCGTATTCTCCAAACAATGCATTTTTGGCCATGTTGGATTGTCATAGGCGAAGGCAAAGCCAAAACCCCATAATTGTATCAGTTGGAGATTGTTTTGTCTATAGAAATGTCCAAACTCAAAGCACCTGAATGCTTTAAGATCCTGTTAGATATGGCTCATATCTGGGGAGTTGGAGTTTCTTTTGAAGAGGCGTGTCTCCTGGTGAAAAGGAGTGTCTCTTGGAATAAAGGGGGTTGGGAGGAGCGAGGGCGTGATTGTAATTTTATCTGAGGGTTTGTATATGTCTATTTATATGGGAAACCCTATGGGATGTAATTGAACTTCTCTGAATTAGTGAAACCGCCGCTCGCTCCCGAGGACGTAGGCAATTCTTTGCCGAACCTCGTTAAATCTCCGTGTTCTTCTAGTTTGTGTCGATTCCTGTTTTATTCCGCGTTAAATTTCACAACAATTGGTATCAGAGCAAGGTACTCGGGACAGATCTCGCGCGCGATAGAGGTGAATCTCGGAGGAGTCGGGGCTTCTTTGGCTTGCGACCAAGGAACTCGGGACAGATCTCGCGACAACGCATTCGGCATTGGCGAGACAGAGGAGTTCGAGAGGAGTTCGCGCGAAGGGAGAAAGAGCATTTCGCGACCAGGAGAGAGTTCTGCGACAATCAGGAGCAGGAAGGCTTCCACTACGTGGCTTCGAGGATTCGCGGCAGGGAAGTTGGCGAAAGGGCTTCGCGACTTTTGCAGACGGTTCAGTGAAGAAGATCGCTAGCGAAGGAGGCTTGCGGAAGTGGATTTCGGCAGTTCGCGGAGGCTTGCGGAAGTGGATTTCGGCAGTTCGCGGAAAAGAGGCTTCGCGACGGTTCTTTCAGGCGGGAAATAGGAAGGCTCGGCGCATTCGGCAGAGGTGAATCGCGGGAGTCCAGCGAAATCTTGTCGCGACGGTTTTGCGAGGCGATTCGCGGCGGACGGGCGAATCGCAGAACAGGCAGTAAATCGCAGAACAACCTCTGGAAGAATCGGACCAGGAATCGCAGAACAGGCGACAGTGGGCTGTTCGCGACTCGAATCGACACCGAAAGGATCGAGGCAGTGAATCGCAGATCGGGGCGCGACAGGCATCCTCTTCCGCGAGGTTTCTGCGAAGGAGTGCGAAGCAGAGGTTGTTGCGACTGTGAGAGGTCGAGGCGTTCGTCTCTGGGTTCGTGGGCAGCAGGCAGGGGCGATTCGTCTCTTGTTTCTGCGGGGAGTGGGGTTCAGCGGTTC